CCCCTCCCATGTGAAGAGCATTGTGAGCGTACCCATGACGATGTTAGCAGAGCGGAAAATTCGAATCAATCATGGTTTCTTTCGACTTGCAAATTCTCAGCCTACTCACCCACGGTGGAACCCTCGGGACCCCGACGGGCAGATTAAGGCAGTGAAGGCGGTGATGAATTTCATTCGTGATCGGGTATCTCGGGCGCTAACGCGAACACTCCGATATGCGGGCTTAACATCAACTCGAAACTCGGACTAGACGGTCAATTGTGTCCGTGTGGTGAGGGTGGCCAATCCCTCTGGCTTCCAATTGAGGAAAAACGAGATTGGCACGAACACACAACATATTGTTGATATCCCGTGCATGCCGTGTCCCAATGTTGCACGATGCTCTGTAGCCTGGCGTGCGGGAAGGGGGCTGCACCTCATCTCTGATGCTCGGCCTCGTAATCACTTTCCTCGCAAATAGTATCTATACCTCGCGCCTATCGCCTCCCAGAGAATGGTCTGGGGCTGCAGAAAGCTCGCGCAGACTCTTCAGACGGGGGTGGGCCGCGGAGTTCCACCAAGAATCGGAGAGGGAGATGGAGCGGCGGGGGGGGGGAGTTTCGGGAGCACAGGGAGGACACGCACACAGACTACCACCATGATAACTGGCTGGGCATTGTGCGCACGGCTGCCATCAAGCACTTCGCGGACACACATGGGCGTGACAATGCACGTCGTAGGTTTATCATGGAACGGCGGTTTCGGCTCACAAATCTGAAACGAGTTCGGCTCATCAGACTTCGTAGCAGAGAATGTCCCTGGAACGCTCACTTGTCCCGGGAACGATGCCACTGCGTTCCAAGATGTTCGACCTAGCACCGCGATCGCTTTGCATCTTGAACATATGACACACATGCATTGCGACGAAGGCGACGCGCTGCTATCGCCCGAGAGCGCAGCGAAGAAACATAATGTATTCGTGAAGCCAGGCTTCGGCAAGATCAAGCGGAAATTCACATAATGAACATGGGCTTGATCGCCTTGAACGTGAAGCTCTTGTTTGGGTGGTGGTGGGGAGCGGGTTTACCAGAATGGAGGCTCATGTTTCGCGAGTTTGAAAGCATGCACGCATCGACTCGGCGGTAGACCCCTATGTCAAACCCATGAATGCCTTGGAGCTTCTCCGTGAGCGGAACATGCTACCAAAGGAGAGCTAGCTGTTAGTCGGACCCGCTTGCTACAAAAGATGCTCCGTTACCGACGCGCCAACTGTCTGACCTTGCCCACTCTCTTCGGCCATTTTGGAAGGAAGCGCACAACGCTGGCTTCAGAGGGGCGCCCAAGCTCGGATGCCAACCTTTGGGCAGTCCAACGTGCCACGGACTCGGAGATGTATCGGGGCCTGAGTGGTGCCAAAACTGTTTTTGAAGTCTCGCGGAACACTGGGATTGTTTGGGTATCGTTTAACCGATACCCATCCCCACCAGCGTGGGCTGGGCCCAACTGGCCGGTTTACCCCCCTAGATGGGGACATAGGCTGCTCCCTTCGGGTTTCGAGGGGTATATCCCCAACTGGGGTGGTGAGATGGTGGGGCTCGGGATGGGGATGGGGATCGGTTAAACGATACTGATTCTTGGCATGCCCTGTTTGGAGAACACTCCGAACCAGGCTACGAGGTGCCTTCGATTTGGCCAGAGGCTTTGACGCGCTGCTGTCCTCACGTCGCAGTCAACATATAATCGGTTGTTTCTGCCAGACATGTTCTGTGACGACGGATGTTGTGCAGACATGGTTGTATGCGGCTGGTACTCTGAGGGAGGTGCATGCATAAGCAAAACTGAAGACTAACGTTCAATTGTTCGCATACCGCACTCGTGGACACCATGAACGCTTAGTCTCGGCCACAGTAGCTACGAACAAATGCCCCACCTGTTCGAGCACGCTTGCGTCAGCAGGCATTGCTCGCTCTCACATTCGACGGGCTTATAGATACAATAGATGTCAGATGGGTAGTTCTCGCATGGCCCAGGACCTTCTCGCATGCGATTCCTGGGCGTGTGCCATTTGTTAGGCCCAATTCCCTACGAGTGTCGTGGAACTCCCATCTCTGCGAGATGCACCTACCACACCCTCTTCCACGTTTAACCCATGCCTCGGTGCCTGCCCGCTTCGACAGGCGTGGCGACATCGTCCGCCAACGAGGAACGCAAGAAGAACCGGCTACAGGAGGAACCGTCCGAGAAACGCGACCAGAACATCACACATTACAAAACAACAGACATGCCCAAAAGCCACTGGCGCCTCGTGGTGCTCATGGTCAGACAATTGCTCCGCATCTCCCAATAGAATCCCGAGCTCGTGGGTTGCGTGTTCGACATCATTTTGATTCCAGCCAGCTCCACAAGCATCATTTGAGGTCAGGGCCAGACTTCCCGATACCCAGAGGCAATAAAGGTTCAGGGTCAGGCGGAGAAGTTCGAACCACCTGACATCTACGCATTCGGGGGAGTAGCTACGGCTCTGAAGGAGAAGGGACAAAGCACTGGATCCAGGAACGTCCAGTATCTAGCTCTTACCTTCTCGGAGATGGAGACCCGTACGGTGGAGCAGAAATGCGAGTTGTTCCTGCTGTGTAAAATCGGCAAAAACTATCAGAAGGAGACCTAAAGGCTGACCATGGCGCTTCTGGATCCCAGGTTCAGCCTCCGGTACAGCTTCCTGATGTGCGTCGCAAGCAGGGGAAAGCACCGCCGATCTTCATGGAGAGGGAATTGCAGGCTGGGGTGGGGTGGAGGGTCTTCTCGACGAGCAGGACAAGTGAGTGAGACGCGCATTTCAAACAAATATCTACCTTCCCGACACATGAGTGAGACACGCGTATAAAAATATCATGCCCGATAATCCTGGCTACAACACTTGTTCCACTAGTGTACGGGCCTTGGGTACGCTCCCACGGTTAATCAGGAATGATCTGCTAGTGTCCTTTTGCGTGCTCTTGCTGTTTTGCGAGCGCCTTTGAACGTGGGAACCAACACCCCCTCGCTGCTCTTTGCGCTGCGTCTCCCTTCGACCTTGTCGTCGTTCCTGCTCTCCCGCGTCGTCGGGCTCCGTGGCCCCTCTCCTTCTCCGCTCGCCGCCTTTCCCCCCCCTCCCGTCGTCCCCCGCTCGCTCTCGTGGGGTGCTGGGTTTGCAGCGCTCCCACAGGGAGGCAGACGAGCCATTTGCGGATGCTCCCCGTGGACTCCCCGTGCCTCGGGATCCGCTTGTAGCAGAAGAAGACAAAGCACATGAGCAAAAACTCTTGGCGCTCCCCGCGCATTTCTTGGGTTCGCGCTGGACCCCCCTCCCTGGCGCGCGGAACGCGCCAGGGGCGGCGCCAGAGGCGCCGCCGGGGGGGCCCAGGCGCGGATCCAAGAAACCCACGCGGAGCGCCAAAAATTTCTGCTTATGGCGTTCTTTCTTCTTCGAGGACTCCCCGTGCGTCGGGATCCGCTGGGGCGATCCTGGAGACGGGACGACTCCGCAGGCGCCGCCCTTCGCCTTAGGTCCTTCGCCTTAACGGCTCGCGGTGCCGTGAGGCTGATGACTCGGGGCCCTGTGTCGAGTCCTCGACCTGGTTTTTTCAAAGGGGCCGTGGGACACACAACTATATATATACACACACACGAATATCACGATCCCCCATACTTTCCTAAATTTTCTGGGTTTTCGTCTTCCCCCCCCATTCTCCGTATTTTCCAATCTTGTCCTGGGAATCGACGATTACTTGTGTATATGCGTGTTTTTCCCCTCCTGAGCTTTGCCAAAAGAGCATTCCAGCGGCACTCTTGACAGACCAGACGACGTCGCCCCCCCAGGCGACTGTCAAATCCGAGTACCGCTCTCTTCTTCTTCCTCCTCCTCCTCCTTCTTCTTCCTCCTCCTTCCTCTTCTCCTCCTTCGCTCTCTTCTTCTTCTTCTTCTTCTTCTCCCTCCTCCTCCTCCTCCTCCTCCTTCTCCTGCCCTGTTCCCGCTCCGCTCTTCCGGTTTCCCCTCCACGTGTCACTCCCTCTAGCCTCCCCTTCCCCACCTCATTCTCCCCCTCCCTCTACTCTTCGATCTTCATCCTCTCTTCCCTTCTCCCCGCTCCGTGTCCCACCCTCCCGTCCGCACCTCCTTCTTCCCCTCCTTCTACTCTTCGATCTTCGTCCTCTCTTCCCTTCTCCCCGCTCCGTGTCCCACCCTTCCTTCTTCCCCGATGTGCCCTCCATGAAGTCGACCGAAGGCATCTTCATGGACCGCACAGGTCGAGGGCCGGCAGGACTCTCTGATCGCGGCGCGGTGATTTTCGAGTACCCCATCAAGTCCAGTCCCCTCGCCGCAGACCTGGACCAACATCCCGCACACGGCCGAAACAGGAGCATAGCGGAGCGCGCCTCCTGATTCGTTGCTCCCCTCCCCAAGCCTCTCCCGCTTCCCGTGCTCAGTGGTTGCGAACGCGAGCCCCCGTCGTGCCACTTCGCTCAGGGGGCCAGAACGGGCCCCTGCGGCCGTGACTGCGAGGCGGGGGTTTGCCCATATCCACCGCCTGGAAAATCAAGGTGGTGGGACCCCAGGGAGCGGTGGATCCGGGCATATGTGGGCCCTCTTGGCCCCTAGCATGACCATCCATGTATGCACCGCCTGCCGAGGCTCCTGAAGATCGATGCCCCAAGCGGTGCTCATGGATGACCCCCCGCCTCGCAGTGCTCTCAACAGGGTTTCTGCGGAAGCGGGGATCGCCGAGACCGCCGTGTTTCCCTCCGCGAACGAGCCTGCGCAACGGCGCGGCCGGCGCCAGCGCGAGCGCCGGGTGGCGTCGGAGGGACCACGCGTTGCTTCGGGGGGGGGGGGGGCAACACGAGGGGTGGAAGAGAGATGCACCTTTCGTGCAACTTCGGGCCCCATGGGGACCCCTTCTGGGCCCCCTTTCTGGCAATACCCCCCGATCTCCCCCATCGTGTACCGCCCCGCCCCCCCCCTATCACGAGACGCCTGTCCCTCAGACCAGGGAGCTCACGTCCGGCCTCATGAAGTAGGTGTGGGCGTAGGGGTTGTCCTTGGGCGGGTAGAGGGGAAAATTGGGGGGGGAGAGGGCAGCAGGCGCATCAGGGGAGGGGGGCAAGCGAGGAGGGCTGGGGGTGAAGAGGCTGGGGATGGGAAGGGGGAGGAGGAGGGCGGGGAGAGCGTGAACAAGGGGAGAGGGGGAGGAGTGCAGAAAAGGGTTGCGAAGGCGGTAGGAGGGGGGAGGGAATAAGACGGGAAGTTGGAAGAAAAGGACGGAAAGGGAAGATTAGAAAGTAGCGGGGGGGGGAGACGAGAGATGACGATGGGGATGCGGGCTGAGGGAGGGAGAGAAGAAGGATGACAACAGTCATCTCAAGAAGTGTCCACGATGCTGCAACACACCCTCCCACTCCAAATCCCAACCATGATAATGTTACAACGATCTGCTCTCTATGCGTAACGCCCCTGGAAAGACGAACGCCCCGTGGGGCCGCCCGGCGAGATTCCCGTTTTGAACAGAAATTTGCATCCTGGACTTTGCAATTGTATGACTTGCCAACCAATACCATTACAAAACTGCCGGATGTGTCCAACGTGAACCCTGCTGAAAAAAGATTGCCGTCCACATCCGCGTAGCTGCCACCATCTTCGAGATTCCTTCGCGCAGACCCCGAAGGAATCCCGGAAGAAAACCCCGTTCTGACACATGCCGCCACCCACCCCTGCAACCGCAGCACAGGCTCCTAAAAGCGGTATAACATAACGTTGCCCGCCGTCGGGGACGCCTGCCCCGCGGCGGCTGGGAAGTTTATACACGGCGTGCCACCGTGGGGATGCAACCTTTCCAGCCGCCCTGGTGCTGGCGTCCCTAACGGCGGACACATGTCTTTTATACCTCGCTACCATGGCATGGGAACAGTGGTTTAAGCCTTTCACACGATATGTTCCCCCCGTTTCTGGGTCCCCACACGCTTCCAAGGCGGCTGCTCAACTGCATGTTTCTACACTGCCGTCATTAAGGCAATTCCCGTACTAGGATGGGCTGGTGGAGATGCGCGAAGCGCCAAGAAAGCATGCAAAACCGTCCTTCGCCCGCCAAATCTTGTCGGAGACATTCCCCATGGGGTCCCAGCATAGTTGGGAAGCTTAGAACTTCTGGACGAGGCACCGCCACCCCCGCTCCCCATCCGCGCGGCTGATGCGCAACATTTGCACCCCCTCCCCCTCTGGAGGCCCGACGGAACTTCTCTCCCGCGCCGTCGCTCCGACGCCGACGGTCGACGCCACGCTCCCGCGAGGCCAGGGGGCGCGCGAGGAGCAGGAGGGAGGGGGGGGGGAAGGAGAGAGGAGGACCAGCGTAAACCCAACGCGCATCAACGAAGTTGCAATGAACGCTCCATCCAAGGTTGCTCTTTGATTACAAGTCCCTATTTGAATTTGTTGTTATTGCGGGAAAAACCATTAGAAGATAATCATCCGAGAGACCTCAACCGCAACACCATGGACCTCAACGCCGCGAATCAACGTGACTCCTGCGGCTTGACAGCCCTCAATCGTGCCAAGACATTCTTCCTGGAAGTTCAACACCGCGAATCAGCATCAAAGATGCGTCCTGACGTTGCTAAATCGTGCCAGAACGCCGGTCCTGGGAGCTCAACCATGCAAATCCTTGAAACTGTTGCAATCTGTGTTGACGGATGCGCGCGGCACAAAAAGCGAGGGTCACATGTTGAAACGGAAGCGCCCTGCCCACTTGAAGCGGTTGCCGCATTTTGGCACGAATGAGCGTGGCGCTGAAGCCAGATCCTGATTTTCAGGGAGGAGCCGCCCTCCATCCTTGAAGCCGCTGCAAACTTTCAAAACGAATGCGCGCGGCGTCAGCGCGAGAACGAAATGTTGAACACCGCCCGCCCTTCATCCCGAAGATGTTGCAAATTTGAAAACGAATGTACGCGGCGCTGAGCGAGACCACATTTTGAAACCCACCCGCCCTGCATCCCTGAATCTATCTCACAAATCACGCTTCAAGCTCTTTTGACACCCCCGGCCCCTCCTGCCGACACGGCTCGGGGTGAGACAGGGGCGAGTTATGTACACGGAACTGGGCCGGAGCAGGGCGGAGGTGGAGGGAAGAAGGAGGAGGGATCAGGAGGGCGGAGAAGGAGAAGGACAAGGAGGAAGAAAAGAAGGATAAGGGAGGTGCTGGAGGAGGAAGCGGAGGAGGAGGAAGAGGAGGAGGGGGGAGGACAGAAGAGGAGAGGGAGGAGAGAGCAGGAGGGAGGAGGAGAGGGGGAGGAGTAGGGAGTATAATGATAATGATGAGTAGGGATGATGATGATGACGTTGATGTTGTTGATGATGATGATGATGATGATGATGATGATGATCGTGCTGATGATGATGAGGATGAGGAGGAGGTAGGAGGAGATAGAGGAGGAAGAAGAGCACGCGCTGCCTCGCGAAAGGAGGAGGAAGAGGATGAGGAGGAAGACCAACGTAAACCCAAGACTCATCAGCGATGTTGGAATACACCCTCCCTCCAAACTCCCTCTTCATAAGCCTCTACACGGGTTTACTTCCACTGAAAGAGTTGCCACGTTGGGAGGCACACGTGTGACAATCCTGAACGTAACAGAACACGATTCTCAAGACTTCAACGACACGAATTGCCATGACTGTTACGTCTTCGCAGTCCTGAATCGCACCAAAACACCATTCCTGGGAATTCGACACGGCGAATCAACGTAACTGCTGCGCCTTGGTAATCTGGAATCGCTTCAACCAACTCCATTTCTGGCACGTCAACCAAAGAAGAGAACCACATGTTGAAAAGGAACCGCCCTGAATCCGTCAAACTCTTGCATATGTGTGCAGCGAATGTGCGCGGCGCTACGGCGATAACCACATTTTGAAAAACACCCGCCTCAATCCGTGAAGCTCTTGCATATTGTTTAAAACGACTGTGCGCGGCGCCACAACGAGAACCACATTTTGAAATCCACCCGCCCTCAATCCGCGAAACTCTTGCAAATCTTCAAGACGAATGCGCGCGGCGCGAATGCAAAAAACACATTGGAAACGGCTCGCCCTCCATCCGTGAAGCTGTTGCCACTTTGACGCTTCAAGATCATGTGGGGAAATCTGAAAGGGGCTAGGGACACACACACACACAAACGCACACACACACACACACTCACACACACACACACACACGCACAAATACAGAAATTCTCAATATTTCCCCATACTTTCTGGATTTGTGTCTTTCCCCCCACTTTCCATATTTTCCCATTTCCCTGGGAGTCGACGATTAATTGTGTCTGTGTGTTCCTTTCCCCCCTGGAACTCTTAGGCGAAATGCCAAGCCCGCCCTTTCGACTGGCCTCGGGGTGCGAAGGAGGAATATGATGATGAGAGGAGAGGGGAGGAAGAACAGAAGGAAGATGAGGAAGATAAGGAGGAGGAGAGGGGAGGAGGTGAGAGGAGAAAGAGAAGGAGAGGGGAGGAAGAGAAGAGAGGGAATAGATGAGGAGGATCACGTACCGCCGCGCGGGTCGAGGAAGGGGTAGAGTAACTGTCAAGGGGGAGGAGGAGGAGGGGAAGGGGGAAAAGGAGTGGGTGGGACACGGCATTCTAACAATATGCGAACTGACCGCGGAAAGGGATGACAAACGAGATGTCGCAGCTCTTCTGCCAGGGATGCGGGGAACTCTTACCTCGAACGACAGCTACCGAAGACCATGGGGGTGAAAACAAATGTACCCGAGGCTGCCCCGGGCGCGCTGGGATGGCGAAAAGACGGCAGCCGCGCATGACAGTGGCTCGCTGAGATGCGTGAGAGAACGTGGAACAAGCGAGAGCCGACTGACGATGTCAAAGGATAAAGAAGCCACTGGCAACGCTCGACGGCCCCCAGATGGAAATTGCCGGATACTTCTGTAAAATAGAAGGGACAACCTCGCACTCCCGCTAGGATGTAAGAAGAACTACCAATGGGATAAACGAAAGGGCCTCTCGACAACAATATGCTCAACAAACTTTCCGCCAAGAACGCCCCGAAAGACCAACTGAGGGCGTCGCGAACGACTCCGCCGGGTTACGTAAACACGACACGCACTGCCATGTGCTCAAGCGGTTCCGACGAACATGAGGAACGCGACTGCCTTGCTTAACTCAGCCCAAGACCAGACCAGGACGAGGATAGCATCGGGTGAGGATCAATCGAGAATCTCTGAGATCCGGCGGCTCTGGAGGAACATCTCAGAAGCCGCGGCCTTCTCAAAGCGATGCGGAAAGCTCTGAGAGCGTTCCGGAACGCTCTGGAACGGATGGATCCTCGTCTTAGCCGCGCTTGGCGGCACCCGCGGAGCTGGGGCCGACGACCCAGGACGCCCCTGCCCTTGCAACCGCAGCGCGGGCGGTGCAGATCTCGTACCTCGACGTCGCCCCCTGGGTCTGCCGCCACGCGGCGGCGGCCTGAGAGCCTACACGGACTCGCAGCCCCGCGTGCTGAGGCCTTGCCAAGAAGCGTTAGGCCGGGCATCTGGACGAACAACTTGAAAAATAGGCAACACATCCTCAAAAGTAGATTAAACAATAATCAAAACATCGTCCCCACATTCATTTTCGTTGACTACTTTGGGATATTCCGCCTGTAGAGGGACGTGCCCGACTTCAAAGAGCAGCGCGCTGGGGCACCCCGCGACGCGCCAGAGCAGCGGGACACTCCTGGAGAACGCAGCCGCCGTGCGGCGTGGCCGCCCCGCGGCACGCCCAGGAGGAGGCTCCACGGGCCGGCCCGGGGCGAGCGGCGGAAGCGAGAGGGGATCGAGCAGTGGCGAAGCGTCCTGGCAGGCCTAAGAGGCCCGCCAGAGAATGCTCTACGCCTCCTAAGGGAGCAGGGGTGCTTCCAAGAAGCCTTCCCCCCCTCCCCCTGCCCCCCTCTGCGCGCGGCCAACAAAAAACACAGGCGACGTCTAAGCAGCAGTGCTTCCTCCGTCTCCTCCAAGCGTCAGCCTCTTCTCCACTTCTTCGACTTGTCCTATGTGTACC